CTGTTTGGGAAACTTAAGTTTTCTATTTAACCAGGAGATCTTAAGAATTAATCCTCTCTTGATTTTTCACAATGTAAATATCATAGTCATGAGGTACATTGAAATCTTTTATATAAAGTAGATTAGTTATCTTTGTTTACAGATACTGTCTTATTTCACCAGCTACTACTTTTATGTTATAACACTAAATTGGTAGTTTTGTTAAAAATTTTATATTACTATTTAGTTTATGAGAAAAAGTTATATCATGGATAAGTATCACAGAATTTATAGACTAAATCAAAGCATGAATTTCGGCCTGTGCCTAAATGTTCTAGATGTTTTGGCTCAATTTTTTGGATATTTCAAAGCAAAAATGGTTTCTGAAAAATAAAACTTACATGAGTAATAACTGTGTATAAAAATTGTCTCAGAATAAAGTACAGGTAATTTTGTCTTTCTTATGTCTTTAAAAATTGACTGGGAATTTAAAAAGGAGATATAATTTTATAATGCTTTTCTAAAAATATTTACTCTGAATATGTTCACATTTTAAAAAATGTATTGCCTTTGGAAGGCTGAGATATGTTATGGATTCTGAGCTTTAGTCCTGTTTATTCATATCTATATACCCCAGATGAGAAATAACAGTCATAATTCACAGCACTGGTATATAGTAATTTATGAGTTAATCGATGGGTTGTTAAGTACAGTCTGGTCACTTGTGTGTATGCATGGGCTGAGGATGACAAAACAAGCAATGTACATAGTTCTTTAAGAATTTCCAACATTTTGCTCTAGGGGTAGTTCTGCCTTGAATATGTTACCCAGCCTGAAGAGAGATTACCACTTTTTACCCTTTCCTTCATTAAAGATATTCAGAGAATAATGTTTTGCTGAAAGGCCATTCATTGTTACTTCCAACAACTTATTCCTAAGGCTCTCACCTCCAGATATGCTGTTATTGTTATGACTTAACATGTTCAGTATTGATGAAGAAAGAAATTTCCTTTGTTATATTTAAAGATAAGCCCTATTATCTCTTCTTTTGAATGATTTATTATTATTAAAAGTGTTAAGAAAGAATTCTTTTTCTATGGGACTTGCACACTTTTTGATAAAAGGCTTATATATTTTTCCAGCATGGTAGTGTATATTCCTGAAGAATGTCTGAGAAAAACTAAGACGATAATTGAATATGAGAATCTGAATTTTAAGAAGTTAAATTTTTTTCATGTAATAGCATATGTAACTCACGCTTTTTCTCTGTAACAGTGGCAGAAAGAGCTAAAGATCCGACAAAAAGAAAATGAAATATGTGAGAACAAAGAACGAAAAGATAAAGAGTTACAGGAAAAAAATCGCTTCAGAGAAATTATGAGGAGAAGAGAAGAGAAACTACACAAGCAAACCAAACCCTATGAGCTTCCTCTTAGGACTGAAGCAATTTCATTAGAAAAGAAAACGACTTCCCCAAATTAATAGCTACATGTTAGGAAAACTTTCTTCTAATTAACTGGAAGCCATTTTTTAGAAAGGTGTTATCCCGGTGCAAGTTTTCAAGTCATGGCGTAGTCCTCAACAGCTCTTACACTTGAGTAAAGTAATTTTACCTGTTAAACATTTTCAGGAACACAGCTAGAGTTTTCCTAATTGACTCTTATCTTGTGATCATACAGCATACTGAATCAATGATTCTCAGATTATTGATATTCATTGGACAGTTACATAGAAGTGAATTGCAAATTATTAATGAGTCAAAATAGGAATTCTTTCTTGAAAACAGAATGAACATTAACTGATACTCCTATAATAATTATACAAATAAAAGAAGTAAGGAACCTGCTTAGATTTGTATTACATAGTCAATCTATGCTAAATCAAACCATATGTCAGAAGTTTGCATTTGATAAATTACTGTATATAAACAAATCTGGATGGGCTAGACATCTCAGAATGAGTTGATCTTTAACAGATCCCAGAGAAGACTCTTGAATGACAGTGATTTTACTTTGTCAAATGATTTTATGAGAAGAGATTTGAATTGTCCTGGAAGGTAAAGTGCACTTACTGATCATTCAATCAGGAATCATCTTTTTTTTTTTTTTAGGAATCATCTTTAAAATGTCAGTTCACTTCATCTGACACTCTCAATCTATGGGTAAGAGTAATGGGGTGGGGTTCCTGTTGTGTTC